GTTCGAAATGTGTTCGTTGGCGATGTACAAATTAAAAGAGTGAGAGAAACAAAAGCACTTGGAGTATGTATTGATGAATTTTTGTCATGGAATAAGCATATTGACAAAATTGCTAAGAAGGTTTCATCCGGAATTGGAGCGATCAGAAGACTCAAACCCTGTGTGGACCATAATACATTAATATGTGCTTATAACGCACTTATATTGCCCCACTTCGACTACTGCTGCGAAGTTTGGGATACTATTGATATCACACTCTCTGATCGCCTCCAAAAATTACAAAATAGGGCTGCTAGAGTAATTACGGGTCGTAAAAACGAACACGGCCAATCTGAACTTGCTTTAAATGAACTAAACTGGAAAACATTGAAAGAACGCAGAACTCAATTTGTAGCAAGTCTCATGTACAAAATAACCCACGATCTAGCGCCCAAACAACTAATTGATATGTTTCAAAAGACGCCTTTCGTCTCAACATTATAACTTACGAGGTTATGCCACAAATCTCTACCTGCCCAAACCTAAGACCGAATATCTTAAAAAAGGTCTTAGTTATAGAGGAGCAAAATTGTGGAATGGCCTCCCAGATAGACTAAGAAATAAATGTTCTCTTAGTCAATTTAACTTAAGTGTGCGGCACCTGGCCAGTTAGATAATGAGTTTATGAAATTTTATTTATTTGACCATAGTAGAGTAATTATAATTGTATAATTGTATTGTAATGTGTTAGTCTTGTATATATATTTATCCTAAATGAGTGTAACGTTTGTATTTTTAAACCTACGCCCCTCTTGGAAATCAGCTCTTGCTGTAGGGGTTAGCGTAGACAAATAAAGTTTTTACTTACTTACTACTTACTTACTTACTCTATATGCATGTAATGCGCGTTCTAATTTAGCTACTTATTGTAGCTATTCAATGTGTAATTTTCATATTAAATCATATTAAAATACCGGCCTAGCAAGAACTATAATAAAATGTATTGTGAAATTGACATCCGTGCTGCTAAATCCTGTATTTTTCCGCTTTCGGGGGGTTAAGGCTGTTTTCCACTAGGCGGAATTTCCCGCGCGGAGCGGAATTTTTCTTTGTCTTGTGATTTCTCGGGTGGAACTAATTAGAAAAGACAAAGAAAAATTCCGCTCCGCGCGCAAAATTCCGCCTAGTGGAAAACCGGCTTTAAATGGAAAAATAAATCAGAATAATGAAAATACAGGATTTAGTAGCACCGATGTTAATTTCACAATACATTTTACTACAGTTACTTGCTAGGCCGCCATTACTCTGGCAAAAACATGCGTGGGTGCCGGCAGCGTCAAAAACATCGAAGGAATGAGCCATCTATTCATTTCCTAATCTATGCTAAAGCCGGTTTTCCACTAGGCGGAATTTTGCGCGCGGAACGGAATTTCCCTTTGTCTTTTCTAATTAGTTCCACCCGAGAAATCCCAAGACAAAGAAAAATTCCGCTCCGCGCGCAAAATTCCGCCTAGTGGAAAACCGGCTTAACGTTGAGTTGTGCATGTCAACTTTTGGAAATGAACTAGGGCGCGCAGAACCTAAAAGCATGTGAAAACAATCGCGCAAAATGCAATCATGCAGCTGACCAAAAAGGAACATTTCTAATTTGTTCTAATAAACTGTCAAATCTTTGAAAATTGCTTCCGTGGAGTAAACGGAAACGTATATAAAATAAAACATTTTGTATATAATAATCCAGAAGAACAATACAAATAAATAAGAAATTAAGGTAAAAACCACCTAACTCATGCATTGCTATACGTAGGTAAACCTGTGTTTCAGACAAACATACACTCTTCCTAATTATAGACAATTCAATATGAGCTGATCATTTTGTTTAACGGTAGATAAAATCTTAATTAAAAACCTTTTTGAAATTAATTTTGAAACAAATGCATAAGCGATTATTAGTTAAAGTTATAGGCCGTATTGGGCTATTCCATTTAATATTCGTACACCCCCTGTCGAGGATACATGTTTTTTTATGGTTATACCTCTGAAGAATTCCAAGCTCAAAACCTTTTACCCCTGAAGAATTCCAAGCTCAAAACCTTTTACCCCTGAAGAATTCCAAAATTCCAAGCTCAAAACCCTTTACCCCTGAAGAATTCCATGCTCAAAACCTTTTACCCCTGAAGAATTCCAAGCTCAAAACCTTTTACCCCTGAAGAATTCCAAGCTCAAAACCCTTTACTCCTGAAAAATTCCAAGCTCAAAACCTTTTACCCCTGAAGAATTCCAAGCTGAAAACCCTTTACCCCTGAAGAATTCCAAGCTCTGAAAAATTTCAAAGTCAAACCTCTTTACCCCTGAAGAATTCCAAGCTCAAAACCCTTTACTCCTGAAGAATTCCAAGCTCAAAACCCTTTACCCCTGAAGAATTCCAACTAAAAATGCATGGCAACACATGGGGATTCAATGATTTAGCTGCTGCACTTGTACACACATATATATCTCACATATTGTAACAAGTCTGCCAACAAGCCATCAACAAGATGTATTCGCACTGCTTGTAACAAGTTGTTAACAGGTTTGGAACAACTTGTTGACAACTTGTAACAACCTTATTGAAGTTATTGCACTTGTTGCAAGGTTGTTCTGACAAGTCTGTTACATGCTTGATATGTCAAGATTGTTACAACCTTGTGTTGACACCCTTGTAACATCTCGTTATATCATGGTTGAAACAAACTTGTTAGCACAGTCTTGTAACAAGGCTGATAATGCCATCAAGCTTGTTACAAATTGTTAACAGCTTGTTTCAAACTTGTTACAACAAACTGGGAACAAGCAATGTGCAGACAACTTGTGAACAGACTTGTTTGCAACTTGTTACAAGCTGTATGTTTTTACGTGTGTAGGCGAACTCAGCGTACACATTTAAAAATGCACAAGTTGTAACAAACCTGCAGCAGACTTGTAGCAATGCTGCTCCAACAACTTGTCAACAGGATGTGTTCGCATTGCTTGTTCCCAGCTTGTTGATAACTTGCTACAAGGTTGTCGAACTCAACAGACTTGTTACAAGTTGTTCCAACAACTTGTTATCGTCCTGCAATTCAACAATTTGTCAACAAGTTGTGAGTGACAAGTTTGTGGCAACTTGATAAAATAATAGAATTTTTACAACTTGTTGACAAGCTGCTACAAGTCTGTTGCGAACACATCTTGTTGACAAGTTGTGAGATTTTACGTGTGTAGATCTCAGCATTTTCTTTTAATACAGGTGGAGTTTCATCTGATTCCGTTTCTCCATCAATAATATCGATACCAGAGGATGAAGGTACACCTTCTTTGTCCATCATACTGGTATAAAAGAGAAATTTGCATCGATATTTTCGACCGTGCTACTTCCATGTTGTCGCTAACAAACCACAAACTTCTTTGAGCAACATTGCGTTCTTCCCCGTCTAGCGTTAGCCAAATTCAACGACAATCTAAAAAAATTTTTACACGAAACCACACTAAAACTTGTAAGTGCGCCTTTTTTCCCATCAAAATGAATTAAACATGATTCAGAAGACGCCATGTTTACAAATGCTAAGCTGGAAACTTCATGTAAGAACGAGCGTGAGCCCGCGAAAATCGCCATTTATAGTGTTTATTACACCAAGTATCCTGAACAAAAATGGCGGCAATCGATTGCGAAAGACGTCGATTTCTTCAATTTTCGAAGAAGAAATACTCGAAAACTGCAGGTTTTGGGAAGTGCAAACAAGCGGATTTGGACTTTGTATAATTTATCCTAATTATTTATCTTGTTTCAAAGTAGTGCCCGAACCCAGGCAACGGAACTGAACGATATCGTGCCACAGAATACGGCCTATTAGTATATAACGACCTTTCTATGACAATTTATGTATCATTTCCAAGAACAGCTGAAATAACTACAATCTTTGACAAAACTATGGGACAGGTGCTGTAATTTCACATATTGGAACGACAAAAATCTGATGTCTGGTTGCGAGATGCCAACATCGAAATGGGTGGGAGGAGGAAGGGGGGAATAAATGTATCGAGAAATGGGGGGGCTGTTAAAAAAAGTTTTTCGTTTTTATCGACTTTGATGCTAAACTTATACCACTATTAACCTAAATTGAATGCCAATTCTCCCCTGATTTTGGACACGATTGTTACCTGAATTGTTACCACAACCTCCCACTAATTCTGAATATCTTATTCACACCCCGGCCGCCTCTGAAGGAAAAACTAAGCTAGGGTGAAAGTATAATAATATATATATATATATATATATATATATATATATATATATATATATATATATATATATAATATATATATATATATATATATATATATATATATAGCTTAAGATTTTGGTTTACGAAACACAAACAGTGCTCAATACCATATAGATAGAGCGTAATATAGTTTTTCGTTTTACCTCAAAGAACCACAACAGTCTGTTTCATCCGTATAGGAATCATCAGGTGGTCCTATTCCTATACGGATGAAACAGACTGTTGTGGTTCTTTGAGGTAAAACGAAAAACTATATATATATATATATATATATATAATGTATATATATAATATATATATATACTTTATAGTATAATAATGACGCACGAACATGGAACGGAGAATATCCTATTTGTGACAATCATGTGCTTATTTTGCTAGCGTTATCACGGGCAGTTCGTGTTTATATAATATTTATATGCATTTAAAAGATCAATGAATGTCCTCTAAGATGTATTTGCCGAGTTGTCTTTCTAAATGTCGGAAAGAAGAGGATGTTCTAAAATATGAATTGCACAAGCGTAACGCAGCCGTATTGTTTACTTATGCATCAGTCAATTGTACGATTGCCCCCCCTCGGGATGCGCATTCGCATTTGCATTACTCAACATTTATTCAACTGTTATTGCGAATTAAAACTATATATCATCCCAAATGAAGAGAATCAGGATAAGATAAATAGCGTGCAAGGAACTGAAGATTCAAAGCGACCATCAAGACCACTTTCCACAAATAGGAGTAGTGCAGAATACCTGTCTACTAGTAATATATATCATGTAGCCCGGCCACTACTTTACTGGATACGTATATACCCGATCTTACATTGCCTCGTTCTAATATATACAAACTAATTACTAAAACAATATTACGAATTGATACTATAAAGGAAATATCATGCAAGACTTTTAATGTTTAATATTATGCTTAGTATGCTTTATAATATAATTTTTTTTCTCCCAGCGACGCTAATGTCAAACACCAATGTCCGGTTGTGTGGAACATATTTACATATTGGCACCACATTTAAGCTCTCTATAGCATGAGAATTTAATCTATTAATGCTAACTGACTGTCGCCTTAATCTCAAAATAACTACTTGACTGCGTATCCACGTATCAGCGTATCCACTAAAATATAGAGCTACCTATAGCATGAGAATTTGATCTAATGCTAATGTAACTGTTTGCCTCGTTCTCAAAATAACTTGACTGCATGTCCGAGTATCCACTAGAATATAGAGCTACCTTTAACACTATGACAATTTAATCTATTAACGCTAAGTCACGGGATTTTAATCTATCAATCTATTTATTAATCTATTGAGAATAAATTAAATATAGATGTATTAATGCATCGTATCCATGATGTTTGAAAAGCATAGCTTAAAAGTGGACGGGTATTCTGCAATCAAAATTATGGAATCGAAAACAATGAAACTTATAAAGAATTACAGAAGCAACGAAAAGGGTTACAAAAAACTGTTACAAAAGCAAAGAAAAGCAAGTGGGAATGGCGAATATAGGCTAACTTAATAAAATATGTCAGATGTCATCACCGCACAAGATGTATGAAGCCACATCATGTCTAACTGCCCATTAGACTTGTCTAACTGCCCATTAGACAAGCAATGTTTAACAACAGCTACAATATACCAAGCGAAAGTCTTTGAACCAGAAAAAGACGACGACCCTAATGTTTACGTCGGCATGGCGGAATCGGAATTCAAGACGAGGTTTTACAACCATACCCTATCATTTAAGAACAAAGACTATGCAAACAAAACAGCGCTATCGAAATTCATTTGGGACCTGAAGAAAACGTAAAGGGATTATGAAATTAAATGGTCAATTTTGAAGCAGGCTAAACCGTACGCAAGTGGAACAAGAGTTTGTAAACTGTGCCTGGCAGAAAAAATGGCAATTCTAAACGCTCACAAGGGAACTCTTTTAAACAGACGAATATATTAGTTCTGCAAGTGTTATGTTAGTTGTGTAATTGTACACTCTGTTATATGTTAAGATGAAAATGTTCTAGAGTGTGTGTTATATAATTTCCATACCCAGCGCAAGCAGAAAGATGTTGTCTGCCGCGGCTGGGTCATGAACCCGCGACCTTATATATATATATATATATATATAGTTTTTCAACGAAAAAGATCGCAGGCAAAAAGGATGAGAAGTTCTGTTGTGGGACTGCAGGTTTGAATTAACATTATTCTATCACCAACTTCTGTAACAATCCGACCACCCAAGATGGATATTTTACAGGATATACTGAATAACCTGCCACTGGTGAATTTAGATGAGCCATTGTTATGCAATTGCATTAAGCAGCCATTAAATCCTATGTGTTTGGTTAAAATTCATGGTGAAGAGAAGCCTGGTGATGTTGAAAGTATTGGTGCAGAAGGTGGAGTTGCAGACATGGACAAGATTGACGAAATTCAGCAGTTAACCAACTGGTGATGCTAAATACGTGAATGATTCAAGCTCTGATTAGGAGAATGATGGAGACAAGGATTCTGAAGGACAAGGATTGTGGAGGAGACACATTGTATCCTGAGAATTAAGACGAGGATTGGGGAGAACACTTTGTATCCTGGGAAGTTTGTTGTACTTGGTTCCTGGCGAGAACAAAAATACCAACAGGCTCTTGTGATAACCATGTATAGATGATCAAAAAATCTGAAGTTGCAATTTAAACTAGAACATGAGAAAGACATTTTTAGTTGAGATTTCCATATACTATTTATTCCTATTAAAACATCTGTTATTATTAAATCAGGTGAATATTTGATACTATAATTTTACCATTCCTTTTTCAAATAAATAAATAAATGTTTTCAAACTCAATTTTCTGTGTTTGTTTACTGCAGTTGTTATCAAATCCCTACTTTATCTTATAGTCCACCTTGGGCATGTGTTCTGCTTAACACTGTTTTAACTGTTGTATACTTTTAGCATAGATGGATCCAGCATGATGTGGTAGGGAGGGTGCTATGCCAGCTCTGGTGCTGAGTTGCGTTGGTCATATGCGCCGCCCACCATCAACTTACTTGACTACAGAAAGCCATGCTTGACTACTGTATTTCAATTGTAATTGTTGTTAACAAAAAGTTCACTTATCATCATGTTATTACTCAAATTACTCAATTTGTCTCTAATATTTTTTGCTTTATCATGAGAATATTATGAGCTTTATTTGCTTTATCATGAGAATAGCGCCCCGCACTGACGTGAAGCAGACCGAGGTAGACTTTGAGCTTACAAATGGCGCTTGAGCAGCCGCTATTAGTCCATACCTCATTAATGATCTGCCTCCAGACCTATGTGCCTAACTCACCCTGTCAACTTTCCCTGTGGAAAGAAACACGGAGTACCCGGAGAAAACCCACGACTTTCGGCAGAGCGTTGATTTTTACTCTTTTCACATGAGGACTGGGTTCGAGTCACAATGAGAAGTTCTCACTGAGATTCGAACCTGC